CCTGTGTGACCGGCTCTCCACCTTCGCCATCTTAGCCCAGCTCAGCGCCGACGCGGTGAGACCCGGCTGGCGGGGGGCTCGGGGAGCGGGACGCGGGCGGGGACGTGAGCGCGGGCGGGCGGGAGGCGCAGGGCCAGCCCTCAGGGGTCTCAGCGCCTGGCAGCCACACTGTCCCGTTGAAGTCCTGGAGATGGTGAGTGGGAGCCTGGTGGGTGGCAGTGTGGAGTTTAGAGACCCTCAGGAAGTGACTGTCAGGTGGGTCCTGTCTCCACTCTCCTCGGAGGCCTGGGGCCTTGGAGACCTTAGAACTGGGGTTGGGAGGCGGGCCTGTGGACCCCTTCGCTTGGCTTGCCAGAGAACGGTGAAGAGGAGCTCCTTTGCACAGCGCTTCTGCCTGCCCCCGCCCCGGTGGAGCCTGGGCTGCGGAGGTGGCTGTGTCCCCAGGCAGGGTTCTGGGGGTGGCTGAGGCTGCTGGGCCTGGCCCAAGTCCCTAGACAGGCCCCATGGTCTCAAGGGTCTCCTTTTTTTTTGTTCCTGTGATTCTTGTGGGGGCTGCTGGTTTCTATGGTGACAGCATCTCAGGCCAGCTTGCTGCCTGGGGCTCTGGGTGCTGGCCCAGCCCTCTAGCCTGGTGGGCTTTCCTGTCCCTACAGCCTCAAGAAGGCCAGGAGAGTGGGGGTAGGGGCTGGAGCTGCAGAGTTCTTGGGCCAGACTGGCCCAAGAAGGGAAGGAGCCAGGGTCTGAGCTCTGGCCCCCAGCCCAGCCCAGCTCTCTTGTGGAAGGGGCCTCGGGGTTGGAATGGAGGACTCTGGGGAGAGGACTTGGCTCTCCTGGATGTGGGCAGACAGATCTTGGCCCTCTGAGAGTCAAACTCCGCTGGGCAGTGGTGGCGAATGCCTTTAATCCCAGCACTTGGGAGGCAGAGGCAGGCGGATTTCTGAGTTCGAGGCCAGCCTGGTCTACAAAGTGAGTTCCAGGACAGCCAGGGCTATACAGAGAGACCCTGTCTCGAAAAACCAAAAGAGAGAGAGAGAGAGAGAGAGAGAGAGAGAGAGTCAGTCAGTCAGTCAAACTCCATGTAGATGCTTGGCCACCCTCTTATCCTCTGAAAGTGAGGACGGCATACTATGTCAGCTGGGGTCTCATGGCCGGTCAGAACCAGAGGGTCCTCAGTAGTTGCTACCAATCCTCTTTGATAGTCATGGAATCTGAGGCCAAGAAGGAACAGTTCCAGGTCTCATGGTGAGCCTGGGTCCCATGTGTCTTCCAATTGGGCAGATCCTTCAGTAGGATTGCCTATAATAGAAGGTCTGTGGGCAAAACAGGGGTAGTGGCTGGGGCCACCCTAGAAACTGTGCAAGATGTGGCTTCTGTATAGATGGTCATTGCATGTCCAATCCAGGACTTCTAGAGCCTGACATGGGCAGCATAGGTCTAGCCTGGGCTCCTATGGACAGGGAGAATAGCAGAGGCCATGTCCCTACTTCCTTTATTCCAGCCCAGGATTGGGCTGTAGGAGATCGGACGTAGTTGAAGACTGGAAAAATGGGCTTGCTTCTTACACACAGCACTGTCTTGGATTGGCCGTCTGTCTTTTAGAGTCTCAGTTTCACTTGTAAAAAGGAAGGGAGGCCCTTTGTCCTTAGGGAGGAGCACTGCTGTTGTGAGCTGGACCCCTGGAGCAGCTGCCATAGCTGGTGTGATGTTCCTGATGCTGGGAGTCAGCAGAGGGTTTGGGTGTGGAGCCTTCATAGGTAGAGCTGACCATGATAAGTGCCTGGGACATGGAGAATGAGGCCACCTCGAGGGGGAGGAGCAGATGCACTGCCCCAGCTCTGCTTTGTGGGGCAGGAATCCATAGATGCTCTGGGGGCTTCTGCATATTAGGTCAGTGGTCACAAAACAGTGTCTCTGCAGGGTGTCACTTTAGAGCTCACTCTCTCTGTAGCCCAGACAAGGCAGCAGAAGCTGAGTTCAGAGCCGGTGGTACCTACTGGAGCCTTTCCCCTTACTTGTGTGATGTGACAGTAAGCAGACCTTCCTAACTGCAGGACTCCCAATGAAAGCAGCCTGTGTTCAGTGTGGGGCTTGAGCAGGGGGTGGGGGTGAGTGGACAACTATTGTGGATGTGGCTTCTGTTTGCCTCCCACCAGAACGCCCTTTGGTCTTTCTCTCCTTTTTACCTAACCTTCCTATCTCACCTATATTGGCTTCCATAGGAGTGAGACCCTACTTAAGATGCTGGAGGGGAGGGACCAGAAAGTGTTCCTGTTAAGGTCTTCCTGACCTCTAGCTGGCTTACTTGGCCCAAGCTGACATTTGAATGCTCAGGGCTGGGGGCTTAGACAGAACCTGATGGTGCCCTGTAGGGAGATCAGGAGACCTGGAAGCAGGCAGCATCCTCCTTCCCCCAAAGCAGCATCCAGAAGGAGTTTGTAAAGAGGTTTGGAGTGAGGTCCTAGGTGCATAGGAGTTCACTAGCCTAGATTGAGGTAGGGGATGACAGCTATCTAATTTAGGTAAGAAAGGCACAGAGCTACCAGGGATATGGGGGGTGAGAAAAATATGGGACATAGGACAGGAGACAAGGTAGACAGGGTGAGAGGGAGTGCTTAGCTTCATACCAAGGGAAGGAAAGACAGGACGGACATGGCAGAAACCAGTAGGGGAGACATGAGACCCTGGCAGGGATAAGCAAGCAAAGGTCAACCTGGCTGGCTGCAGAGAAGTGGCCAAAGCTGAGTTAGAAGGTTGCTGGCCAACAGGACTGGACTAGATAGTTAGAAGGTGCCTCAGCCTGGGCAGAGACAATGTACCAGACACAGTGGCTCAGGGGACTCTTGTCTAAAGGGCCTGAGGTGAAGGTAGAGTGAGTGGCACCCAAAGCTAGGGTTGCAAACTGGTCAAGGCATGCTATGAGGGAGACAGACCTAGGAGCGGGGAGCTGGCGGGGAGCCAGGGTGTGGGCGCAGATGCTGCTGGGCTGCGGCTGCGGGAGGTGAGTAACTGCTCTGAGTCACACCTGTGAGTGGGATGCACCACCTGCCTGAGCTTCATGGATGGTGCCCGACACAGACTGGCCATAGTAAACAGAATGTGAGGCCAGCTGTTGGTGTCACTGCTTCTGGGAAATGCCTCAGATCTAGCTGGTAGGGGGCCAGGACCTAGTCCATGTGTAAGTAACCAGGATTGGTATCAACATGTAACCTGACTCAGGTCATAGTGTGTCACCAGGATCAGGGCTCAGCATGTGACCAGGATGAGGGCAGGTGTGTGAGTAGGGTCAGGTATAAGAGTGTAGCCAGGGTTACACTCAGAGTATGATCAGGAACAGGGTTCAGAGCATAACTGGGATTGGTCAGGGTTCAGAGTGTAACCTGGTACAGGGCTCAGTGTGTGAATAGGGGCAAGGTTCAAAGTGTGACCAGGATCAGGGCTCAGCGTGTGAATAGGGGCAGGGTTCAGAGTGTCACCAGGATCAGGGCTCAGTGTGTGAATAGTGGCAGGGTTCAGAGTGTGACCAGGATCAGGGCTCAGTGTGTGAATAGTGGCAGGGTTCAGAGTGTGACCAGGATCAGGGCTCAGTGTGTGAATAGGGGCAGGGTTCAGAGTGTGACCAGGATCAGGGCTCAGTGTGTGAATAGGGGCAGGGTTCAGAGTGTAACCAGGATCAGGGCTCAGTGTGTGAATAGGGGCAGGGTTCAGAGTGTAACCAGGATCAGGGCTCAGAATGTGGCCTGGATTGTGGCTCAGCCTGTGACCCAAATCAGGGCTTAGTGTGTACATGGTCGGAGTTCAGCTTGTGACCAGGGTCAGGACTCAGTATGTGACTATGGCCAGTGCTCAGCCTATGACAAGGATCAAGGCTCAATGTTTAGCTGGTGTCAGTACTCAGAATGTGCACCAGATCAAGAAGCAGAGTGGAAATATGACTGAGATCAAGACTCAGAATGTGTTATTGGTGAGGGGCGATGGGGGAATACGTAACATTATGACATACCTTAGTCTCTGAGGTAGGGTAGTTTATGGGTACTTGGGAGCTGTAGATAACAGAGGGACAGGAACAGGAGGAAGCTGGCATTGCAGGGTAGAAGCTACTCTTTAGGAGATGAGGTGTGTAGACCATGTGAAGACTCAGAGGAGAGAGTTTACAGGGTGCAAGTTGACAGCAGCTGTGTAAAGTGCAACCCCGGCATGCCATTGGTGAGTTATTGAGGGAAAGTGACAGGCAGAGAACCTGAGGTTGGTTCAGACAGAATGTCCTTAGGGTCTCTAGAAGGTGGTGACATCTCAGCTAAGAGAAGAGCCAGGCACATGAAGGTCAGGACAGTGGTGGGTGATGGGAACAGCCTGTGCAAAGGCCCTCGGGCATGCTGAGCTTGGCACTGAAGCTGATGTCCCACAGTGGGCCAGCCTGGTTCTGTCTTCTCTCTAGGATTTAGGCTCTGTTTCTTGTCCTTGGGGTCTCTAGTCTGACCCTCCTAATAAGGCCTGGCCTTTTCTTGACACTCCTGCTTCACAGATTGCTGCTGCCCCCTGCCCCATAGAATACAGAACTGGGGCTTTCATGAGTGCCAATTGGGAGAAGCAAGCAGGCTAAGGGTGTCTGGTGGCTGCCAGGCCTAATGAGGGCAGACAAGGCAGATGGGCATAGAGGTTGAAAGTGGAGTCAGTCGTGGCATGGGTGTGAGCCACTTGCTCAATTGACTGTGACCTTTCCAGAGCCTTGGAATATTTGCTGGCCACAACCCTCACCTGTCCCGTCACCTGACCTCCCCTCACCTGGGGCCCAGGTTCTTCTTTGGTAAAGGGAGGTGTGATAGGACTGTGATCCTGGAGATCTCATGCCTGCGGAAAGATGTGCAACGTTTCAGTGGAGCGGACGCAGTGATGTCTCCACTTGCCATTCAGTTATGGCTAGAGACTTTTCAGGTTGCAGAGACACAGGGCTGGTCACCCAGGTCTCCTGCAAGGCCCAGGAGCCTAGAGCAATTAGAGGCTCCTATTACTTCATACAGCAGGAGGTCAGCCTCTGTCCAGAGTAGGTTTGACTGGAGTATAGGTGCCCAGCATGCATGAAGAACAGGCTTGGTGTTAGGGCCAGAGCACTAATCTTCCTGCTTGTGCCAGGGGTATATGTATCTGTAGGTATATCATGTAGGTGGGTGTCTATGGATGTGTTAAGAATGTTGTCTGTGTCACTCTGGGGTAGAGCCTGGTTAGGCCACCTCAGGGTTCTTTCCATTTTGGAAGAGTAAAGGGAAGGAGGCATGAGGAGCTGGGAGTGGTGCAGAGGTTCCTCTATGACTACCATGACCTATGGCTTGGGCACCACACGGCTTATGGTATGAGCCAGGGTCTGTGTCATCGTTTGCAGTGACCATTCCCTTGTGTGAGCAGGGCCAGCCTGCTGTTTCTGGGCTGTGCTGGGCATATGGTAGAGAATCATGGGGTCTATGGATACTGCCCCTGCACAGGGATAAGCCAGATCAGAAGGGCCAAGGCCCTAGTTCTTGTGGAGTTGGGAGGTGAGGTTTGGGCAGAGCGAATTGCCGGTGTAAATACTCTGAGATGGAAACAAGGCAGCCAGTGACCTTTGCACTGGATTGAGAATACTGAATCAAGCAGGGAAGGGACAATCAAGACATGGAGGTGAATCAAGGTACCTCCCAAGAGCAGGGGGAGACAAAGAGAGGAGCTTTGGCAGGGCAGTGAGAAATGGAACTGTGGGAAAAATGCTGGGGTGGGTGGCCATGTAGTTAGGGATGTTGGCTGACTGCCCATTTAGATATAATAGGAGCTGGGGGTGGACACCATCCTGGGGCCCTGGCAGTACAGAGCCACAGATCTGACTGTGGGCACAAGGCTGAGTCTATGCCTCCCTCACCCTACCTGTGATGTGGGGTGAGCCCTCCCGGAGTTGAGGGGCTGTGACATGAAGGAGGTGAGGACTATTGCCATCTGTGGCCTGTGACTGTCATTATACTTGTGAGGGTTTGTCCTCAGCAAGGGACAAAAACTGCCCAGCAGAGAAAGTCAGGGGACTGGAGTGGAAGGGCACAAGACCCCCGGGGCTACATGGGGCCTGAGCCAGACCTCTGTTTGCTCGCCATGGGTCATGTCTCACTCCTTGTCTCCCCCGTTTCCCAGACCATGGATAAGGTGACCGTGCCATCTGTGACGCTCATTGTGGGCTGTGGCGTGTCTTCCCTCACCCTGCTCATGCTGGTTATCATCTACGTGTCTGTGTGGAGGTAGGTGCCCCGCTCCAGAAGCCAGAGATCCAGCCCTCCCTCCATTCCTCTCTCCCTCCGACTCCCTTGTACCATCTACTGGGGACCAACTGACCCCTTCATCCCATGCAGTCTCCGTTTCCATGGTTCCTGACTTCTAGGTCATTTGGGGGCCACAGAGGCAGAATGGGGGGACATGTTGAATATACCAGTCCTTGTTTCTATTGTCACCTGACTACATTCCTTGACAGACACCGACTTTGAGCCCAGGCTCCAGCTGTCACACAGAGCTTATCCTTTGCTTACTTGGGATCTTGTGGCTATCCAGTATTCCCGTGTACTCTCATACCTGGGCCTGCAAACTCCCTGGGGTCAGGACCCCAAGGCTACAAGGATCATCAGGACCTGTGTCCGCTGCAGGCCATATCTACCCATGTGTAGGTTATAGGGTGGCACAGCCTGGCTAAACTCCAGGCAAGTGTGTAAGTGGGAGACTTGCGTAGTGCAAATCCTCTTATGGCGAAGGCACTAGGAGCTCACTCAGGTCACAGGAGGCGTGTCTGTGCATATGCCCCCACCAGTAGGTATATGTAACCATGGGTGTGAGCCAGTAGGATAGCATTCTCCCTGCTTACCAGCATCCAGTCCCAGCCAGTACACTGAGGTACATTCAAGGTCATTGTACGCAGAGCTGTTCTAGGGCTCCCTGTGCCATGGCTGGCCCCTGTGACTGGCTATTCCAATTCTCTACTCCATGTGATGGTAGCCAGTAATCGAAACTGATGGGCCAGTCAGAGCCTGCAGGCAACAGCAAGAGATCGATGTGACTACTGGAGAAGGGCAGTTTATGCAGCATCAGGTGCCCTCTCTGTTCTTCCCAAAGGCAGAGGATCCAGGATGTCTCCCATAGGTCTCCCTCTGCACAGCCTCTCATGAGCTCAGAGGCTGGATTCAAACTCTGACCTGGATAGGAGGCAGCTTGTGTAAAGCACCTTTCTCAGTGAGCGTTGCTGGCATCACTGTATCCTGTGAGCTGCAGGCAGGACCCATTCTGATGGCCAGTTAGGGAGTGGGGACAGATGAAATGGTGATGTGATAACATAGTGATAGCAGTGACCATGGTGGTGATGATGATAGTGATATAGATTGTGGTGGTTATGGTAGACATGGTACTGGTGGTGCAGTGGGTGGTGGTGAGGATTGGGGTGGTCATGGTGGTGGTGAGGGGGATGGGGGTCAGTGATGACAGTAGCAATGGCGATGACGGTGATGACAGGCAGAATTTCAGGGAGGAAATGGAATTCTGGTTCTTAGGCAGGTCACATGACCTTGGCCCCTGTTAGGTGCTGACCTTAGGCCCTGACCCCTCTCACAGGTACATTCGCTCAGAGCGGTCCGTCATCCTCATCAACTTCTGCCTGTCCATCATCTCCTCTAATGCCCTCATCCTCATTGGACAGACCCAGACCCGCAACAAGGTAGGTGACCTCCTGCCCTGCCCTGCCCTGCCCTGCCCTGCCCTGCCCTGCCCTGCCC